GAAAGATGTTTTTGACATGGAAATTGAAAAAGATAAAGGCATGGAAACATTTTATTTAAAAGAAAAGTCAAAATGGAAATAAAAAAAACTGAATGCACATGCCTATTTGCATATGTGCACCTATTTAAATACAGAAGCAAGTCATAAAGATGCATACCCTGCTGTTGATGGAGGTTAAGCCTGAGGGTAAAATTGGATATGTAGAGTGAACTGGTTTTTAAATTATGGTAGGATTATAATTTTTAATTTTTGATATTTTCCCAACAGAAGTTTTTAAAAATGTATATACTTTTTCCAATTTGGGAAGTAACTTTGAGTAAGCACTAAGCCAAGGTAATGCACCATCTACTATATTTATTGGATAAAGAAGTTTGTAAATATAATGGAACTGTCAGGAAACAAAGATGTACCTATTTATTCTTTTCCATTCTGGGGAACTAGAAAGTTGGAATACCTTTGGAGAATTTTTTTCGCTTGAGAGGATGTGTGTTAAACTAGGACTAACAACAGAGGCTTACGCTTAGGGTCTCTGTGTTAGCGAATCCCAAAAGGCTCCTCTGCAGTTTCCTGGGAGGTGTAATTCTCTCGTGTGGCTATTAAGCAGTTTGAAATTAGTGTCCAAAGACTCACTGAAGATTTGTTCTGGAAAAAAATCTTAGAATTCATCAATTCCATTGCCATGATTTTAAAGATATGGAAGGAAACTGAAGTGGCTATATATGCTTTGCAACCCAAGAGCTTATTTTCAAATAATTTTAATTATTCTTTTTACAACTTTCTGCCTATTTAGTTAGAATTATGTGATTAATGTCCAATTAGCAAGTTGAGATGATACATGGCCCAGCAAGTGTCTTTGTTTCACAGGCTGGACTGCACCTTCCTCCTCATCACTTGATTGTGCTCTAACTGTAACTGGTAGGTTTTTTTTTTGAGACAGAGTCTCACTCTGTTGCCTGGGCTAGAGTGTCGTGGCGTCAGCCTAGCTCGCAGCAACCTCAAACTCCTGGGCTCAAGCAATCCTACTGCCTCAGCCTCCCAAGTAGCTGGGACTACAGGCATGCACCACCATGCCTGGCTTATTTTTTCTATATATTTTTAGTTGTCCAGCTAATTTCTTTCTATTTTTAGTAGAGACAGGGTCTCCTCTCTTGCTCAGGCTGGTTTCGAACTCCTGACCTTGAGAGACCCGCCTGCCTCGGCCTCCCAGAGTGCTGGGATTACAGGCGTGAGCCACCGCGCCCAGCCTTGTAACTGGCATTTGTTAGTTGCACACATGTGTTCTGCTCAAGTCCATGCCTTTGTTAAGGTCTTTTTCCTCCCTGGCTCATTTACTGCTGTTTCTGGTTTACTTAATTAAATTCTACTTACTCTAAGTTTAACATCACTTCTTTTAGGAAGCCTTCACCGATCTGAATCAACCTCATTCTTCAGGCTGTGCTAGGTTTCCTTTGTCTGTTTTCTCACAATATCTTGTATAACTCTCTACAGGGTAGCTACTGTTCTGCATTTTACTTAGGAGCCACTGAGTAAATGTTTGTTGATTACTAAAGGAATGAGTGAATGAATAGATGAATTATTAGAAGTGAACGTAATTAATTAAAAAGAACTGGAGCAGATCTGCCTTTCATCGTGAATTAAATCACTATTTAAAAAAGCAATTTTAAAACTACATGCTCCACCAAAGGCAGGTTGATAGTGTCATCTTTATATATATATATAAGACAACACTTCATCATTTTCATCAGCACCCACTGTAATTTATAGAATTAGTATATATATTTTTTCTGGGCATCTAGAAAAAGTATTTATTCATAGTATGCTTTGAATGCCATAAAACCTGACATATTCTAACTCAAGTAAAAATGCTTATGGCAGCCTAAGAAGTTTATGATTCTAGGTTTCTCCCTTTCTCTTTGAGAAAATATCCAATCAAGGCTCAGTTTGATTTCAAACATTCATGAGTATTATTATAAACAAAAATAAGTTTTAAAAAAAAATAATTAAAAAATGCCCAAGCCTACCATTAAAAATGCATTAGTAGAGTTGCTGAAAATGATCCCTGTGTCTTTTTCATTCTCCCACTGGTGTGGTTCTCTCCTTTCTTGGTGTGATAACTGACACAGACCCAAAAACTCTGATTTCTGGAGAGCAGAAAATTTGCCAGTGGGATCTGAGCTCCCAGATGCAGGGTGAAGGGCTAAAGTGAATCATATGTTATTTGTTGGAATCATTTGGCAAAAGGGCAAATGCAGCAAACACATTCCTACCTCTCCAAGCCCAGAGATCTGACAGCTGAGGCTTGGCATTTTCATAGGCCCAGAGCTGTTGAGTATTTTGTATTGTTTTTCCTCAAGCAGAAAATAAATAAAGTTTACTTATTTATTTTCTATAATAAGGGTCTCACCCAGATTTTAAGGTCATGTACCATTGCAACTAGACAGCATATTACCAAGTCGCTCACTGAAGCTCAGGTTAGCTCTCACTCTCTTAATGCTGCTGAATTGTCATCTACTCTGACATTTTTACTCAACGCCAAATGATACTGTAGCGCTCCAAGAGGAAGGGGAATGGAACAACCAGAAAAGAGGATATGGCCAATGTGGTTCATGGGTTTGAGGTACGTAAAACCAGGACTAACTATATGTAAAACCGTGTAACAGTTGAAATCTGTTTTCTACTTACAGCCTTTTTTCCTCTGTGCAACTTGGTGTATACTTACTTCACGTGTGAGCTGCTACCTTTCCCAGCCTCACTCAGCTGTGTGGAGCCAGGTCCTCGAGTCTCTCAGCTGCTGGGGAGACTGCTGTTTGCCAGGCCTCCACCCTGCCCTTGTCAGGGATGAAGGGGGACCCCAAGCCTCAGCATTCTCCTGGTAGCATGCTCACCCCTCCTGCCACCCCACACTCATCTCCTTACCAACGCAAATTGCCTGGAACGTAAAGCCCTTATTCCGGCGATCCTGAATGCCTGCCCTCGTGGAAGAATCCAAGATCACTACTCATGTCTCATTGATAGGAATCTGCACATCCCTTGATTTTGACCAGTTTTCTCATTCATCTACAACTCTCCAGATTCTTCTGCTCTGCGCTATGAAACACCATTATCAGCATGATCTGCATACGTAAGGATACCATTTATCAGTTTGTTGTTAAAATGGTAGTACTTTTGGGGGTGAAAAAGGATGCAGTTAACAATAACACTGGGATAACCGGCTATTTTTCTCTGTTATAGCATTCATGCCATTGGGTAAGATTGGGGTAGATGTCCTTCTTGCCTCTCGGACCACTTCTAGACCCTTGTCACTGAAGTCCTCCAGCTTGGAAGCTCATGTAGTCAGACTACTTCCTGCTATTCAGTGTCACTGCAGTCATCTACCAGCCCTGTGTCACTCTTCTAACACAGTGCAAAGATTTTATCACTTCACTGTCACTCTCTCAAAAACTAGTTCTGTGTTTACTCTTGGTGATTTGATTATTCACATAGACATCTTTTCCCAATACTTGGTTTCTCAGTCTATAAACTATCTTTTCTCCAAAAATCTTGTCTTTGGAGACACCTCAGCCACCCACCCTCCCACCCTCATGTCATATCATTTTCAATAACTGTACTCTCTTTATCACCTCAATTTCACATGTGTCATATCAGTACCGGCTTCATATTACTCCCACTTCTAATCCTTCTGGTTCACTGACTCCAGCAATTCTTCAGTACCATCCAGACCTACAGTACATTGTTCATGCCACCCTTCCAACATCCTCAATTGCCCTCGTGTCATCACTGTCCTCTTAAATCGCTCAGATTCCACGATTCATAACAATAATCACTTCTTTGCCTTTACCCTAAACTCTCTTGCACCTATTACATCCTACCATACTTATCCAGCAAACACCAATTCTGGTGAAATCCACTGTCTGTGGACTTTGAGTTTTCACTCCGGCATCTGAAGATGCATAGAGAAAAACTCTGAATCGTGCTGGCTGGTCCCATCTTATAATCATGACCACCTAGGGCCATAGTAATAGCAGTAGCAGACAAAGGGCACCATGTGAGAAGACAGAGGACAATGCTGGAACTTATGGAAGAATAAATTTTATAGTTATCAGAACATTCTCCAGTATGGTATTAAGTCTGCCGTTTGAAGAGGAAACTCAGACTGGTGGTCCAAATTACTCTGCCGTGGAAGGTCAGGGAGAAAAAGTGTATGCCACCATTGTTGTTGTCATCGACATTCATTCATTCCATAATTGTTTATTAAATGTCAACAACAGAGATTTTCACTAGGCTAGTCACTAAAGATAATTTTGAAGCAAAAAAAATAGTTCTCTCACAGAGGTTGATAGGACTCACATTGCTTCTGTATGCATGTCTATACACTACAGCTCAGAATAAAAAACAACTTTAAGTTTTTCACATAGAGGGAGAAAGCCTTTCTAAGTGTTTTCTGTATAGTTCCTTCAAATGATAATTGTAAACAATAAGACGTAAATAAAGATTTGCATATTTGGAAGTAGAAACAGCCATTTGTAGAAAACTTATTTGTTGACAATATTAACTTTTGCTTTCAGATGGCTTCACACAATCACAGCTAAAGATAAAGTTTTAATCTATAAACAAATGTGGTATAGAAAATACTCCCAGTCATTTGAAAGAATCAGATAACCTGAATGATATTTGGAATAGGATTCCAAATACTGAAAACCTATTTAGTATTCATATTTGTAAGTTCTTAACCCTTTTATGAGCAAAATACCAGCATGTGTTGTTTTATTTTAGCATCCAATTGAAAATTGATCTGTTAGACACACCACAGGGGACTTTGAATTCCCTCCATTGGTATAATGAATCTCCGTAAAACCTCCTTAAATCAATAGAAAATATAATTTAACTAAAAACTCTATGTCAGTATTAAAGAAAAAAAGTAATTAGCAAATCACAATTTAGCAATTCCAACATGGGAGACAAAATAGTAAAGCCAACTAAGGAAGAACCATGCCCAGTACCTTTTGAATGCCTGCTTGGGACTCCAGAACATTGTTCTCTGATCCGTTGCTTCGGTTGATCATCCGCCACATTTGGGAATACATGCTGTCCCTCTCGAAAGGATTCAGTCCCTTCATGCGAACATGTTCATACACTGCAGAGTCCAGTACTGTGCCATAAGGGATGTCCGTTTGCTTAGAAAGGTCCTGGAGAGATCTTGATTATTGGGAGAGAAGAGAGACATGAGCGAGTAATTAATATTTTCAAATGGAGATAAAGTTAAAGGAAGAAAAGGACAATATATGTGAAGATGGATATCAAATTGCTTTTCTTATTTTGTTGTTTCCTAATATTAAGATCTAATGTATAAGAAAAACTGCCATTAGGATATATGGCACTTATACAGATTATGAGAAGACAAAATTGTTATTAAAGGAAAGGTGAAAATTTCTATTGGTAATGCAATGCTTTCTTTGTAAGCCTTCACTAGGAAAAAAATTCTGGCAATCCCATCAAGGCAAAGACAAATTAAATTACATTGCTAGATAACCATATAATTTAGTAATTTGAAAAAAATTTCAACATGTTATAAGTGTTATGTCTATGTTTCTTTATGTGGCAAGGCTTAAATATTTTTATAAAATAATTATAATCTACATTTAAATCATTAAATGTAAAGACAGCATCTTTTAAGGTCAAGTGTATGCTTAAAAATTAGTATTTATGAAAGTAGTTATACATCGAATGGCTAATACATACATGCCAGGCAACTGACATACATTATCCCCAGAGAAACGGCTCACATTCAGAATTATTTGACCCATTTTATAGACATGGAAACTTAGGTTGAGAGAGTAAGTGACTTGATCAGTGTGGCACAGTCAGCGGGTGGTAGAGCCAGGAGTCAAATATGAATTTGTCTGCCCCAAAGGCCGTATGTTTCCAGTGCAAAATGCTGGTTCTGATTTCTATAATTCTTTTATTTGCTCTAGCTTGTGATGTGTGTGTGTGTGTGTGTGTGTGTGTGTGTGAGAGAGAGAGAGAGAGAGAGAGAGAGAGAGAGAGAGAGAGAGAGAGATGAGAGATATTTTTATTTGCATTCAAAGAGAATAAATTTTCATGCTTCTGGAAAACTGGACATGTCTTTCAGCTTTCCCTTTTTCAGAATAATGCCCCAGGATTTTCAAATCAATTTTTGAGTTACAGATGGTATCTGTTTGTCCCAGGTTATCCATACCTAAATTTTTGGTTGTTTTTCTTAAGTTTGAGTTTCTCAGTCATTCTATACTTTCTGACTTAAAGAACCAATCACCACTCCACAAGAACTCATTGAATTTGTGTAGGGGCCCAACTCTAATGACTGACATTCCAGAAAAAATACTGTGTCATTATCATAGTGTTCAAAATCAGATGTTGGCATGCTTGACAACTTATTAACTTCTGGGAGTGGGAGCAGATGCTTTCAAATACTATACCATATTGTGAACAAGAATCAATGCTCACAGCACTGCACAAGCACGAGCCATGAATCTCACATAATGTATAGCCCTGACCTTTTGGTCTGTTTATAGATGGAGTTTTCTAATGATTTCCTGAGGATCTTTACAACGAACACTAGCATTGGGCAAAGGTATTGGGAATACTATTGCAGTTCGCCAATTTCCATCATACGCAAAATTATGTTGCAAACAATAAATTATGGACCATGTTTGTTAGAGAAGTATTTGTGCCAATTTCTAACGGTAATTTTCAGCAAAATTTAACCTGCAGTTTATTGAGTTTTGTGTTGTTGATGTATATTATTTACTCCATGGAAACTATCATGATAATTCCTTTTTGCTTTGTTCATCTGCTGAATAAAATGATGCATTTAAAAAGTAATATTTGATGAGAAGAATTTTCTGGAATATTTTACAGCTACTGAACTAATTCTGCCATTTGGAAAAGATAAACCAAAGTAATAGTATAAATGAATAATTGAGGGCAAAGGGAGGAATACAAATGAGCTATGCGTAGCTAGAGTGCAAATTAATATCAGAGTGGCAGGGCATTTACTCCAGGGATATATGATAATTATATTGGTAATATTATAACAATAAGAATTTTGCTTCAAGAGAGCAATTTACTGCTGTTTCCAGTAGGAGCAGTAAAACTGTATTGCAAACATCAACATTGTAAACATATTTCCCACTGTTTAGTGGAGGATACTAAAAAGTGTTAACACAGAAATAAGAAATGAAACATATCTACACAGGTAGGTTATAACCTCTTCATTCAGTTTCCATAAATACAATACAAGGGGCAAGGCCAGGTGGCTGTGGCATCATATAGAACCTGAAGGTCTCTGGATGGAGAGGCCTGGGTCAGGGTTCATTAGAAACCCTACCAGTGCAAGACTGGCCATTTGCTATTGATACTTGGCAGTGCTGGCAATCAATCTCAGCTATATAATAACTATCAGTAGGCTTCACTTTGGTGGAAGTGAGATCACAGTCTACAGTGAAATTTTTTTCATGCCTACATCTACATATAGAACTGGTTTGCTCAAATAGTCACACTAGTTAAATGCTGTTAAATAAACCAGTGCTCCCTCTCAATCTTCCATGAAAATAAAATTGAAATCAAATGTTAGGATCTTTAATATAACCAGGTTTCTGTGATATAGCTTCACCTTAAATATTGTTTTACAACCTGAAAACATAGAGCTGTAATACAAACAGTTTAGTTGGTGGAAGCTTTTTGTACACAATAAATTTTTAAAGGAATATCTTAATATATTGCCTATGCAAAGTTCCTGATGTTACAAAAAAGGCAGTTTATTTTCAACACACTTCAAGTTCAGACTAGCAGCGCATTTTGTAATTTAGAACAAAGGCATGTTCTCTCTAGTAGTTTCTGATACCAAGTTCAGCTTATAAATTTGCCTTGAGACACACTCACAATAAAAATTACAGCTTGTCTGATCAGCATCGTTCCATTATAGTACACCAGGATAGCACCAAAGATGATAAACCAAAAAGACTGAAGCAAAATAAAGTGAACACAAATAACTTACTACAGAAAGGCCACTTCAGGAGCCCAACATAGAAAGGGAGTGACTATTATAAGTGATCATCTTGTTATTTTCATACTAAGAAGATTTCAGAACAAGGTCAGCAGAAATGCTGTGGCCCATATTATGAGCCCCTGAAAGAAATACAGTAGATGATTCAATAAGTGGTAATATTTAAAATATTGTATCTGGAAGTCAAAATCTAAGTGGATATTTTTTAGACATGCCTAATTATTATTTTAAAATGCAAACCAATCCTAGAATCATTAATAGTCACCTAAATAAACATTAATTATCATGGCAAATGTTGACATTTCTTTTTTAAGTGTAGTCAACGTTTCCTCAGGCCACAGAAGGAGTGAGAATATCTAGAGCACTCTGAAGAAGAGTTATCTGTGAAAATAGTATGAGTATGTTATGCTAATATGGCCCATTTCTCAACTTAGCCACACAAATCCATACTCACATAAAACCCAGCAAATGCTCACTCTGAGAATCTATTAAAACGGACCCACACGCACCCTCACTCACACACACTTAAGAATGATTGTTTTTTGCTAGAGTTGGTGAATGATAAAGCAATGCTTTGCTGTTCTAATCAGCCTTATTTTCTTAATATCTTACTGGGATTATTCTTTTATTCTTCCTACTGGTCTCCTATCTGATTAGCATCAACCTGTGGGTACTAAACAATACTGAGAATTTATAGGTAAGTGATATTTAGTTATTTGCATAAATAATACATATACTGAGAAACTGTAAATTAGGGAAATTCTTTGAAAATAAATTTTAAGAATTTTAGTGGCTTGAGATTGTTTTTAAACTCTTTCCCTTGGAAGAATAAATACTTAAAAGCCCTTCAAGTATTTAAAATTAATTTTGATGTATGTGATAGTGTCATATTAGATATATCTGACTGTAATAGCTTTGACATTAAGTACATTAGATTTTAAAGTCAAGAAGCTCTGTTATTTGTGAGCAGTATGATGTAAGGTACCCCTGTGTGCCTTATTTTCTTCATCTAAAATGAAAAGAATAACAGTGTCCTCCTCAAAGAGTTATAATGAGAGGACCTGTCACATTCACATTTGATCCAGTTATCAGTTGTTTTTATAGGAAGATTAGTATTATAATGATTCCTCTTTCTATAATACCCCCTTTAATGATTTCTAATGCAAAGTGGAATTTTATTTCTTGGTAGGATAAGATGATTTCTTATAAATATTGCTGAAGAAGACTTAATGCATTGGAGTAGAATAAATAATGTTTGATTTCCCTTCCAAATAAGAAATTAGATGAATCTATGATACTAAATGATCATATATGTCTTCATTGCAAACTCTTCGGGACACTTATATGACTTTATATTAAGGAAACTATGTTACAATGAATGTGTTGCTAAGAATACTTACATTTCTAAAACTGTCAACTAGTTTTTAAAAAATCTAATGCAGAGCCCCTTTGCAGTGAACTTTGACTCATATTTCTGCCTAATTTCCTTTAATAAGAGAATAGATATTACCCATATAAAACTGTGAAATAAGTCTCATAAACCTCTCTGTCTCATCTCCATCTTCTTCATCTTCTCTCTCTTTTTCAAAAATAACAATAAAAAACACATTTATCCTGGTTGTGTGGAATGCTTATCAACAAATGACAAGAGTTGGGAGGCCGAGGTGGGAGTATCACTTAAGCTTAGGAATTCAAGACCAGCCTGAGCAAGAGCAAGACCACATGTCTACTAAAACTATAAAGAAATTAGCTGGATAACTAAAAATATACATAGAAAAAATTAGCCGGGCATGGTGGTGCATGCCTGTAGTCCCAGCTACTCGGGAGGCTGAGGCAGGAGGATCGCTTGAGCCCAGGAGTTTGAGGTTGCTGTGAGCTGTCCAGGCAACAGAGTGAGACTCTGTCTCAAACACACACACACACACACACACACACACACACACACACACACACACACACAGAAACCCCACAAATGACAAGAGTGACCTGCCAGCCTGGCTCTGGGGAATGGAAACACTAATCCGATCTTTTATGAACTGGAACAAGTCAACTCGAGTATCACATTGAAGGGGATTTTTTCTTCGGGGGAGAAAAATGGAACGTGGCTGACAGGACAGGCACTAGATGCTTCTGGCAAAGGTGCTGGCCGTGG